TGCCCATTTCACAGATCACACGCCTGGCCAGTGGTGGAGCTGAATAAAACCCCGAGCTGTCAATTTCAGAGGCCACGCTGTTAACTCTACTGCCTCTGGCCCTAAGTAGCAAGTCAATTTAAACTTTGAAATTTGCAAAACTGTTGATAATCGAGCTGACAGGAAGGCATGCCATGGAATAAAGTTAACAAAAGTGTGTCATAACCAAAATGTAAGCATAAGACGAATGGAAAAATTTCCAGGTATAAATGTTTTCATTGGAGAAATCTTCTGGTTCCCCCACACTGAGACCTGTTCAATCTCTAAAACTAGTGCTTCCCAACTTTATGTCAAAAGCTGTATAAAATCGAGATAAAAATTAAAGTTTGTTCCGTTTCATAAGCTGTCAAGTTAGTACTTATTGGTACCTGCGTACGAGAGTTATAAAGCGAAGCAAATTCTACATACCAGCGGAGTTTACACATGTGTCAGGTGTCTATCCTATCCTAGACCCTGCACCAAGCATCTTTTCAAGAATCTCTTTCTAATCTTTAGGGCAATCATATAAATGACATTATTCCCATCTCAGGGATGATAATAATTCCTATTTTACAGATAAATTATGGTTGACACATATTAAGGTTGTACTATGAGCCTGCCAGGCAACACCATTCTTAAAACTTCATATGTAGCAACACATTTCTGGCACAGAGAAGTTAATTAACTTTCCCAAAGTCACACAGCAAAAAAAAAAACAAAACAAAAACACATACACACACACACACACACACACACAACTAGGATGAAAAAGTAAAGTTCAGCAGGTTAAGCAACTTGTTCTAAAGCTACAAAACTGTCAGCTGCAGAACCAGCAGACTAACTCAAGGTTTCACTCTGTAGGCCTTGTACTCCTTCTATGAGGTAGCTGGGTAGTCCCATCTGGGCTCACCAGGGCCCCAGCTAAATGCCATAATGCCTATGGACTGGCAGTGGAGAGCGGTATTGCCTAGAGCAGAGGTCTGCAAACTCATTAGTCAACAGAGCCAAATATCAACAGTACCATGATTGAAATTTCTTCTGAGAGCCAAATTTTCTAAACTTAAACTTCTTCCAACACCACTTCTTCAAAATAGACTCGCCCAGGCTGTGGTGTGGAAGAGCCACATTCAAGGGGCCGTGGAGCTGCATATGGCTCGCGAGCCGCAATTTGCACACCACTGGCTAGAGCAAGCATCGCAAGCATTTAGTGCCAGGTCTTATTCTAAAGGGGCAGTTTTCCAATTCTTCAAGAGATTTGGATATAAATTCTCTGTATTTTTTTAAATATTGCCTCAATGTTTTCTTAAAAAGCATCATGTGGGCCAAACAAAACATGTCCTTGGGCTATCAGCTTACAACTTCCCTTTATTTATTAAGAGTCTAAAGTCAGAAGATGGGTTGTCTCATGTCCAAAGTATCAGAAATCAGAGATGCTAAGACAGGCTTACTCACAAGTACCCTCTTCTTTCAACAATGATTTACCCCTACAAACTTGTACCTGTGGTAATCCCCACTCTGGATTTGCAGCCACGGGGGAAAAAAAAGAATAAAGAAATCCAAATTACAGAAATTGCATAGGACATTTTCCTTTCATAAGATTCCTTCAAATACCTTTCAATCCCTTTCTGTAAAACGTCACCACACATGAACACAACAAAAATAAAGCCCTTCCATGTCCTAACCCGTCAATGGTTAGAACTAAATTCATCCTGGAGAAAATTCACGGCCTCAGAATCCCCATCCTGCGGGTCCGGCTTCCAGAACTCCACTTAGGACACACTGCCTGCCGCTCATTTCCTGCTGCCCTTCTTTAATCAGCTGGGGGAAGGCTTAAGGAAATGAGTCAAAATCCTACGAGCAAGGTCTAGGGGCTGTCAACAACAGCAGCAAAAGCCATCACCACAACAACATCTGTGCATAAACATGCTCCGAGGGAAGCCACGAAACACTTGGCACACTCCCCCACAGAGCGTGTGAGAGAATCAAAGCTGTGAGAGGCAGCCCTGCCCTTCGCGCATCCTGCTCGCTCAGGGTACAGGGCACAGTGCGAGGACCCATGACGGAGGGTTTTCTCTCTCTCTCCCAAGTGTGCCCCAAGTGTAGAACGCCAAGACCATTTTTTGTGTTTTGGAATGGGGGGGGAGGGGGGTGTGGAAAATTGTTCAACGGATACCATCATATTAGTGACAGCTTATCTCCCTTTCTGATGGACTAACCTCACTATTTGGGGAAGTGACGTATCCCCAGCCAGTTCCTCCAGCTGTAAAACGGTAGGGATGTCGTCTACCATGTCTGGGGCTTGAGAGGACTGGAGATGTCAGGTCAAGGCCCCAGCACAGAGCTGGGCACACCATTTCCAAATGAAGATCAATAACAATGTACTGAATGCCTACTTGTGAATTTCAGGCACCACAGAAAATGCGTACTAATGACAGGGCCTATGTGGTTTATAAAACCGTAAGAATAAATGTGTGGGTGACTGGGAAAGACCGGAGTGGGGATAAACGACTTATTTGGATCCCTTTATCAGGCCATCGTATTCTTTCGGACAGGATAATCATCCACAATGCGTGCAGCTGCTGGGGATGATCTATATGGCCTCACACCTGCAGGAGCGGAGGGAGGGGAAGGCATGATTCATACTCCGTGCAGGTCCATCCTGCTGGGCACCGGCGCTGTGAATACTCAGAGGAGAGAGGGTGGCACCTCCTAGCCCTCAGAGCGAAACTGTAGATGGGCACACGTGGACTGAGGAGAGGGCAGCACAGGCCACGTGTCCCTGCGTTAGCCAGAGGAAGACTGGGAGGGTACCACCGAACAGTCCCTGTGGCCAGCAGGGGCAGAGGAATTTCAAGGAGGCAGAAAGGAATCAGGGAAAGAGGTCAGACAAGGTGTCGCGTCCACACCAAGGACACGGGAAGAGGAGAATTCCAGACCCAAAGGACCCTTCCGGATGCGGCTGCCTCCCTGTCCTCTTGAGGGCTCCCCAGAATCGAAGCAACCTGCCAAGGGCACACCGCCAATACCTCGCTGAGAAAAGCAAAACCAGAGGGCAGCAGAAGGCTCTGTCGCTACACCCCACGGCCCCCCGCCTCCTTCCCCAAGCCAGACCTTAAAATTCCCTTTGCCAACTTCTACTGGATGGCATAGGCTGATTATGGGGAAGAAGGAAGCAATTAATTCACTTCGTTTTTTAAAAGGGAACTATTCTGTGTGGTTTGTCTTTCTAGTGCCCTATCCTGGAGGTTCCATTCACCTCTCTTAACTGAAATGTAAAGCGCCAAGACTCAACGATGTCAGGACCAAACGTGTCGTCGGAAGCTTAGGCGATCCAATGCCTCAGGAATCTGAATTCGGGCTCTGGATCCCTCCCACCTCACAAGGGTCCAGACGCGAGGCAAGCTCTTCCCCCACAGGAAAGCCCTCACAATGCCTCGCCAGGTCGGGAAGCAGGAGGCTGCATCTTGAGACTTCATGGGAAAACCCAGCAGCAGCAGTCCAGGCGGTCCCACAATAATAGTTCACTGCGATGCTTCCTTTGGAGACTCACTTTCTACCCTTACATCATCGGAGTAGCCTTCCCGCTAAAAATAATAATAATAATAACAACAACAACAACAACTAAAGTGACCTGGGAGAGAGCGAGTCTTCATGGGTGGCGGCGACCTGCACTGACTCTCGCACCAGCGACCCCCAGGAAAAGGGGGGAGAAGGGGCAGGAATCTGCTTGAGGGTTTCCAGGAGCCTGCGAATCCTCCTCCTCCACCTCCACACCCAAGTTCCCAAGCGTATCTAACCGGATTTCCACCACAGCTTTAAAAACCCAAGATTTGCTGGAAAAGTTCCACTCCAACCTCCCATCCCCACCCTCCGACCTCTCTTAAGTACAGAGATCACGTGGGGGGGGGGGGGGTTGCTGCAAATCTCAAAATTCCCAAACAAAACGGACCTACAATTACAGGTCGCAGACACCCATTTGAGGGGCTTTGAGGGTCCCCGCCAGCCCGGCCGGGCACCCTAGCCGGGCCCGAAGGCAGCCAGGGTCCGGGACCTCCGTGTCCCCGCGCTGGGGCCCTGCCTGCCCGGCCGGCGCTCCGAGCGAGGCGCGTGGCGAGCGAGAAATCGCACCTCCGCAGCCTCCCTCCCGGCATGGGATTTCCAAAAGCACAAAGTCTGCAACCTAGCGGCTGCTTCCTGCACGCGCCGCCCAAGTTGTCCTTGCCGGGAGCCGCCACCTCCAGGCTCGCGGGGTCCGGCCCCAGCGCTCCCCGCCGCGCGCGCGCGCCCCCCGCGCCAAAGCCTAACCGGGGTGTCCGGGGAGGGGACCCCGCGGTCTCCGCCTCGTGTCCCCGGACCACGCAGCCGGCAGAGGCGGCAGCGGATCGGGTGTCCCCGGCTCCGGGGCACAAAGAACGCCCGCGGTCAGAAAGCGGCGGGCAGCCACCGAGCCAGAGAAAAGGGGGGGCTCTCCAACTTGGCCCTCGGCGCGGCCGGGAACCTGCGGGCCGGTCCCCCCGCGGGCCGGCCGCACACGCTCAACTTTTAACAAAAGGAAGCGGCGGCCGCGCCTCGCACGGGCGGAGAGGACGCGGGATGCGAACCCCCGACCCCCCGACCGCCCGCCGCTGCGCCCCCCGCGCGCCCGTGGCACCAAAGCAGCCCCGAACTAGGGCGCAACCTGCGCCTGCAGCCTGCACCCCGCGCGCGCCTAAGCGCCCCCCTCGCTGCCCTCGTTCCCGGGGAGCCCCCAGCTGAGCACCCCCACCCCGGGGTCGGCGGCGGCTCCGCGCGCAGGTGAGCGAGGCTGGGCGCGGGAGAGTTCCAGGGGCGCCTGGAACCTTGCAGGAGGCGGTAACGCACGGGCACGAGGAGCCGGTAGCCGCCACCTCTCCCCGAAACACCCCGGCGAGTGGGGAGCTAGCTCTCCGGGGCGCAGGCAGCGGCGGAGGGGGCGCGGCCCCGGGGCCGCCGCGCTCGCCCACCTGTCTGGAGGCCGAGCAGGAGGAGCAGGACGCCGCCGAGGAAAGCCCGGGCGCCGCGAGCGCCTCTCATCGCGGCGGTGGCTGCGCGGGGACCGGAGCTCCGTTCCGGGGTCCGGCTCGCGCCCGAGTGCACCGAGCGCGGCAAAGCTGAGCCCCCGGAGCCGCGAGCGCCGAGCGCGGCCCCTCCTCCCCGAGCCCTCCCCCTGCGCGGCCCCGCCCCTCCCCGCGCCCCTCCTCGCCGCCTGCCCGGCCCTCCCCCCGCGCCCAGATCTCCTCCCGCCGGCCCGCTGCTGGCCCCGGTTCTCTCGCCCAGTTTAAACATGGGGGGGGGGGGGGGGGGGGCGGCGGGGGGAGGAGGGCTGAGGCCACGAGGAGGAGGAGGGCGCGCCGGCTTGCGCTTCCCGCTTCCGACCCCGAGCCCCTTCTCTGCACCTCTCCTGCCCTGTGCTGGGCTCGGGCGGTTCCCGGGCCACTGGGTGCTTTGTGGAGCTGGGCACCCAGCTCCTATGGGGACGCGGGCCCGCCCTCTGGCAGGTGCTCCCCAGACAATAAGGGTCGGCTGCCCGGCCCTGGAGCGTCCTCCCCAGGGAGAAGGTAGTCTGCTACGGGCGGCCAAAGTGGTGCAGGGACCGGATTGGATCGGGGAAGGGGGTGGAATTGGGCCTCCACGAGAGTCTCCTCCATTCCTGTTAGCCGAAGGGGAACCAGAGGGACACCTGGCACCGGGATGCCAGGCTGAGCCTGAGCGTTTGTGATTCTTTAGGCTCAGGTTCTCCACCTGCTCCTTCACCAGTACGAGCACAGTTGGTTTCTATTGGTCTGAGTGACCTCCACCCCACAAGCTCCAGCTGAGCCTTTTTTGGGGGGGACGGGCTTTAGGGCTTTTTTTTTTGGGGGGGGGGGGGGAGTCGTGGCTTGTGAAGTTTGTTCTGGGAGCCTGAGTTTTTAAACCCTTTTGCACGAAAGTCTCTCTCTCTCTCTCTCTCTCTCTCTCTCTCTCTCTCTCTCTCTCTCTCTCTCTCTCTCTCTCTCTCTCCCCCCTCTCTCCCACTCTCCCTCTCTCTTCTGTCCTCCCTCTTCTGTCTTCTCTCTTCTCTCCTTCCTGGAACAGTTTCTTTGCCTCTATTTGACTGTGACTGTTAGAGGGGTGGGGATCTCAGGGTCCCTCTCAGCTGCCCTAAATTGTACCAAGAGCAAAATTATAGTAAAATGATTCTCTTGAGCCAGGTTCCACTGCCTAGGAAGTGTTTTACCCAAGGTGACAAGAGTATGTGTATAGTGTTTTCTAGTTCCTTCTTCGCCGAATAATAGTTCATGCTTGTAACAGCTTTATGAAGTAGAGCAAATGCGTTTATTATTTTAGTCCCACAGCTGATAGAGGGGAAACCAAAGCATTTTAAGACTGACTTCAGGTCTCATGAGCTTTCCCAATGAAAGTAATAATAAACAAGTAAAACATCCCTCCAGAGAGCTTATGAATGGAAAATAAATGGGAAGTGCCATCTGAAAAAGCAATTGAATAATTTCGATACACCTAAATTCTTCTCTAAAGAAGCATACAAAAATTATTACTAACCAGACCCCCCCCTACTTTATTATTGAAAGCTCTCCTGATTGATGTTCATAGGACCTAAACTGTTTAAGAGAAATGATTTTTAAAGCTAATCACTTAAAAATTCTCTCTACTTGGTCAATATATATAATTGCTTCTAAAGAAATTTATTTAATAAGTATTTCAGTTTTTACTGTGAACAAGGAGGCACTAGGCATTGAAAGTACCATTGTTAATAGATGTGGGCCCTACCACAGTATTTACAGTCAAATGTGGGAACCCACACCCCAATGTCCTAGCAAATGGTCCAAGTTCATACAACTGTGGGAGAACTGAAATTCAAAGTTCTCTGTTTGTGTTCTGGGCCATTGGACCATATCTCTTAGGATGGCAGAGATAAAAGCTACCATTCAAAGCAATCATAAGTTTCTGGGATCTTGATTTATTTCTAAAATCCATTTTGTAGTGAGAAAAAAAAATCACTATATGTGTTAAAATATCAACAATATGCCTGAGAGAGAAAATTTACAATTTTCTTCTTCAATCAACTGATATTGGAAAGGATGAAAAGTCTTTTCAGAAAAGTGGGTGAAAAGAGACCATATTGCAATTTAATTCCAGATAGGAAACTATCAGGAAAAAAAAAAAAAACCAGAATAGGGAATTAAACAATGCTAGACTGTCTTTCATATTCACCATTCAACAAACATCTATTGAGCACCTAGGTAGGTACAAGACCTACAACAATTCTAAAACAATGTTCCTCCCTACAGGATCACACTGGGGGGGGGGGGGGGGGGACATGACAGTTACCCAAACAAGAAACTAATAATATCTGCTGACAGGACTTAGGTGCAGCCAATACACACCAAGTTCGCCATATCAGAATATTAAAATCCTTGGGTACTTATTAGAAAAATGCCACTCCACTCCCCTAATGTCTAAGTGCCCCCTCACTCCAACCTCTTTCTTGAGATACCCCAAATCTCAGGTCCATAAAGGTTTAATGCCAGTCCAGGAGAGGACCTCCAGGCCCTGTGCTTTAGGGTTATTAGCTATTTTTAATAACACTCCCTGCCACTATGTTCTAAAAGAAGGCATCTATGAGTGAACTGCTAAGGGAATGAAATATTTTAGATCATGTCCAACAGAAACATTTGCAATGATGGAAATGTTTTATATCTCTGGTAGGGTGTGTAGGTCCAGTTCTGTATTCTGTTTTGTGATAGCCCTGGACCCTTTCATGAATTATACCTTCTATTTTTTATTTTCATAATTGTATTATTCTTTTTTTAAAACAACTTTTTTAAAAAAATATATTTTCTATTGATTTCAGAGTGGAAGGGAGAGGGAGAGAGAGATAAAAACGTCAATGATGAGAGAGAATCACTGATTGGCTGCCTCCCACATGCCCCCTACTGGGAATGGAGCCTGAAATACAGGGATGCGTCCTTGACCAGAATCCAACTGGGGACCCTTCAGCCCACAGGTCAATGTTCTATCCATTGAGCCAAACCAGCCATGGCTAATTATATTAACTCTTAATTGGACCTTGTAGAAATCTATCTAAAAACTAACTTAAGCAAACAAACAAAAAACCTAAAATGTCTCAGCTCTTATAACTGGAAAGTCCAGGAATTACAGTGCTCCAGACTTCCCTAGATTCAGGAACTCAAGGTCATCAGACCTTGAAAGATGTGTGTTTGTGTGCATGTGTGTGTGTGTATGTGTGTGTGTGTATCTGTGTGTGTTCACATGCATTGTTGGACAACAATCTCTGTATTTTCCTGTATTGTTTCCCTATACTTGTATAAACTTAAGCAGCTCTAGGCTTATAGCTCACTAGTAACCCGGTGCATCGATTCATACACATTAAAAGGAAATTAATTAGAAAGTGGCTGGTGGGGTGGGACTGGGCCAGACAGGCCGGACATGCTCTGGAGCCAAACTCTCACAGTGCTTCCCAGTCCAGCTGCACCTGAGGTGGCACCGTGCTCAAAAGGCATCTGCAAAATGAGCGGGGTCCCTCCAGCAGGTGGGGTCCCTCAGCCTGGCCTGTAGAGATCAGGCCAAAAACAGCTCCCCGACATCCCCAGAGGGGTCCCAGAGTGCAAGAGGGCACTCTGCAAAGTTGTTGTAATACAGGTTGTGGAACGCAAACACAAATGTGCAGTAAATCAGATTCAGGCCGACAGTGTACCAACAACAACATAACCCACACCTGAGGGTGAAATCATGTGGCCCTGTGAGGAATCAGGCTTTCTCCTCTCTGGTTTCAGGGTGCATCACCCAAGACCCATCGCTGCCCAGTCACTGCAGCTCAGGAGCTCCTGCATTGAGCGTCTGCCCCCTGGTGATCAGTGCACATCATCGAAACCAGTCAGATGAAGGGAGGGACACTTAGCATATTAGCCTTTTATATATAGAGACTAGAGGCCCAGTGCATGAAAATTCATGCACCCGGTGGGAGGGGGGTCCCTCTGCCCAGCCTGTGCCCTCTTACAGTCCAGGAGCCCTCGGGGGATGTCCAACTGATGGCTTAGGCCCACTCCTTGGGAAGCAGGCCTAAGCTGCAGTCTGGCTGCCCTCTGTGGGAGGCAACTGGTGGGCCAATTGGGGGATGGCACTGACCAGCCCCGCCCCCTAATTACCCCTTCACTGCCACTGGTAGCCACTGCCCCTTGATTACAATCCCTTCCCTCTGCCTGCTGGCACCTGCCTTGGCTGGCTTGGTGCTGCCCACTAGCTGGCCCTGCCCCCTTGCCTACCAGTCGATTTGCATATTAAGCCTTTATTATATAGGATTAGTACCAATGTAAGCAAAGCTCTTCGCCCCTTGTGAACATTTTCTATAAAAACACTGACTTGGCTTAAATTACATGCCCATCTGGAACCCGTTATTAAAGCCAGATAGAACATGATGATTGGCCAAGTGACCCACTCCTGGAGTCAGAATTGGGGTCTACTTTGTCCACATCATGAGGCCATTCTTAATGGAGAGGGACGTGTACCCCCAAATTGATGTACTCTCACCAGAAGGAGGAGGGATAGCAATACACAAATAGAACAAAATATGTTCATTATAGTCTCACACAGCCTGAATCTCTATTTCTTTTTTATATTTCTGACTGTAAAAATAAAATGATCATTGTAGAAAATTTAGTTAAGTACCAAAAGTGATAACAAACAAAACAAAACAAAATTATCCAAGATATAATTACTGAAGTGTTCATTTTGGTATGTTTCTTTCAAGTCTTTTTTCCTTTTTCTAAGGATTTTTTTTTTTCTTTACATAATTTAGGATTCTATAATAATTTGCTAGTTTTCTACCCAGCTTTTCAATTTAATTTAATTTTGGTTGTCAAATAATCTTTAATCGAAACATTTTCCTTTGTATGATAGTTCTTAACTGGCCGGACATTGCATAGCACTGTCGTTGATGTTATCTGTGATATCATGAGGTTGGCGGCCATCAACACTGCAGCCACAGACAGGGCGGTCCCCAGGATCTCTTCAAT